GTTAATATTTACATTTTTTTACAAGAATAAGGTGCATTCTACGAGCAATTTAAGAAGCACCATAAAGGAATTTACACAAATATCATTATAATACAGCAATTTTTTTAAAAGCCTGTTAAGGCATAACAGATGTGCAAGAATCTTCTGGGGGAGGGCCCTTAAGCAATATCCCTTTGTTGTTAGGATATCCCCAAAGTAGTACTGGGGCACTGTAAGAACATAAGAACATAAGAGACGCCAAAGGCCCATCCAGTCCAACACTCTGTGTCACACAGTGGCCAGAAATACCAGTGCCATCAGGAGGTCCAGCAGTGGGGCCAGGACATTAGAAGCCCTCCCACTGTTGACCCCCCCAAGCACCAAGAAGACAGAGCATCACTTGCCCCAGAGCCCCTATCTATACCTTGTGGCTAATAGGCCACTGATGGACCTCTGCTCCATATGCCTATCTAATTCCCTTTTGAAGCCGTCCATGCCTGTAGCCGCCACCACTTCCCGTGGCAGTAAATTCCAGTACTTCCTTTTATCCGTTCTAACACATAAAACACATAAATCACGGTTACGAATATTTGGTGGTAGAACCTGCAGGCAACTTGCAGCCGACTTAAGGGGATCCCGTGGAGTTTTCAGGGCAAGAGAAGTTCAGAGGTGGTTTGTCATTGCCTTCCTCTGCGTAGCAACCTTAGACTTCCTTGGTGGTCTCCCGTCCAAGTACTAACGGGGGCTGACCCTGCTTAGCTTCCATCCGACAAGATGAGGCTAACCTGGGCCATCCAGGTCTGGTCTATGAATGATTAATCAATTGCAATACACAACTAAGTAAGCTGAATGATATATTGCCTCTTGTAGAAGCAAATGGAATTCAGTATGTTAATTTACGGCACATTTATTCTTATAACAATTTGGGTAAATGAAAACCTGGCCAGTGAAGTTATACTGAGGTGAGGTATATATCCCTAAATATACTGAGCATGTGCCCTTGATTGTATTAAACGTTGATTGTTTTTGCCACATGCCTGTTGTATGAGTTTCTAATTTTGGTTTTGAAGGTTTGCTTGTTTTCTTTAATAAAGGAGGAAGTGTTTGCACTAACACCAGAAAACAAGAGTTTTTCAAATCAAATAGTTCAGGACATATACAGCCATTTATCCGGGGAAGAATTTTAACTTAAGACAGATCAAGTTAAAAGCACTGCGAAGACTTCAAAGAGGAAAGCAAAGCTAGACTGGAACAGCAGAAACGAGGAGAAAGATTACAATGTACTGTTTCAGTTTCCCTCAAATGAAGCTCTTGCCCACTGTGTAAGCTCTTCCAGCTAAACAAATATTAAGACTAAAAAAATAGACAGAGGTATGTGATATCACACATTTCCCCAGAAACAAGTGTGCTAAAAAAAAACAAAACCCTTGGCATTCTCATCTCCTTTCCTAAAGTACAGAATGGAGGTCAAACAAGAAACAAGAATGTTAATTGGATAAGCAAGATTTCTGCACGACTTTCAAGTTTCCGGCTTTTGACTCTTCTCCAAAGGAAACCGATAAATTCAGAGGTGGAGTGCGTGTTAAATTCAATGAATGAAAAAAACACAGACTTTCCCTCAAAGACCAAATGTTCACAAGGGAAGGCAGCTAATAAGCGCCTCTTCCAGGGCAAGAAAAAAGCAATCTTGCTGTTTTAAAATAAATCTCGAGGGGGGGGGGGCTCACCTTTTGATGTCCGCACGCTGCTACAGTGTCAAATGTTGCCCTAAATCTGATCTCCTGCACAAATACTGGATGGAGGCTGTCCTCTTCAGCTATGTTAGTGATGTGGGACTTCCTAGGGCCATTCCTGGGAGAAACAATAGGTATCATCTCCAGGTCTGTGTGGAGCCCACTGCTATCGTCCTGGGTACAGATGCATGTGTGTGTGAAAGAGATGTATACACACACACATACATACATGCCTGGATTTCCAGCATCTTCCAGCCTTTTTTCACTCCCAGGCCCTGAGTTATCGATGGATTTTGCTGACTCCTGTGGGATGGGTTGAGAAGGGATTGCAGACAGATGGGCCCACCCTGCTCACTGCCTTTAAGGTAAGACAACAGGGTTTTGCTTTGGTTTTGGGTTTTTTTTGCTGAGATCACTGATAAACCTCCTCCCATGACAAACCCGGGAAATCACTCAGGAACCAGCAAAGACCTCCTTCTTCCTTGGGATACAAAACAAGAATGCTGCCTTCCTGGCCGTGGGAAAGGGCCCGTGCCAAAGCTAACCGTCTACCTACCCTCATGGGTAGAATGTATTTATTTACATTCAGTTAAGATACTGCCTTCTGTCTGGGACTCTGGGTTATGTCATGTTTTATATCTGTGTGTGTGTGTGTGCGCGCGCTAAGTGCCGCCATGTCGCTTCCGATTTATGGTGACCCTATGGATTAATGACCATCTGAGATCTTTGCCAACTGAGGGCCGCAGTTTCCTTGGATGAGTCAATCCATCTCTTGTTGGGTCTTTCTCTTTTCCTGCTGCCTTGGACTTTTCCAAGCATTAATGTCTTTTCCAGGGAGTCTTGTCTTCTCATAATGTGACCAACGTATGATAGCCTCAGTCTGGCGATTTTAGCTTCTAGGGAGAGGTCAGGCTTGATTTGATCTAGAACCCGCTTATTTGTCTTTTTGGCGGTCCACGGTATCTGTGCTGCTCTCTTCCAACACCACGTGCACATACATAAACACACACACACACACGTACATAGTTAGAATTCTATTTTTAAAAAGGATGACAAGAATGAAGAAACAGAATTCCCTAAATATTCTATAATAATCCTTCCACGTAACCAGAGCTCCTAGAAGTTGCTCAGCAAGCCCCTGCAATTGTGACAGGAAGGGGGCACAACCTTCACAGAACTCGAGGTGGTTCTGGCCAATACGGTTGCCGGGTCTGGCCTCGTACCCAGTGGGGGATTTGGGGGGGGCATTCCTGGGGGGGCATCCCCAACGTGATGACGTCACGCTGCGGATGTCCCCGCCCCCAACAATGACCATCTGCGGCCACCCCTCTACCTCCCCTCCTGCAAGATTTAAAGGGCCTGCTGATCGCCTGGAGGACCCTTTAAATCTTGCAGGTGGGGAGGGAGAGATGTGGCCACCAGCCACATGCCTGGAGGCCCGACCATGCTGGCCAGAAGCATTTAAAGGGACCCTTTAAATGCTTCTGGCCATTGGGGGTTTCACGCACCTGTGAACTCCAAGAAGCAGATCGCCACTTGGAGTTCAGGTGTGCGGCTGGTGGCTTCCCCTCTCCCTCCCCTCCTGTAAGGTTTAAAGGGCCCTCCAGCTGATCAGAGGGCCACGTGCTCCCCCTGTCAGCTGGAGGGCCCTTTAAATCTCTCAGAAGAGGAGGGAGAGGGGTGGCCACAGGTGGTCATTCTTGGGCGTGGGACCTTCCCCGCCAGCCGGCTGGCTGCTGGCAGGCTGATGCCCCAAAATCGGGGGAACCCCTGCTCAGACCGGGGGTCTTGCAACCCTAGCCAACAACAGGGCATAGAGGCTGAGGCCTTCCCCTGATGTTGCCTCCTGGCTCTGGGATTCAGAGGCTGAGTGCCTCTGAATGTGGAGGTTCCCCTAAGCCACCACGGCTAGTAGCCATTGATAGACTCCGTGAATCTAATAAGTACTTGAAAATTTATTTTAAAAAAAGACTTGGGAAAAGCATTCCGACACGGCAAAAATATGTCTTTGTTCTCGGTCACATAAAAAGAAGCATTAATGGATCTGACTGTAATAACTAACCTAACCCATTCTCTTTCTTATTTGCCTTCTCCTCTCTTCTACCCTCTTCTCAACCAAAGGGACAGACCCAAAAGGTAATGTAGGGATGCCAGCCTCAACCCAGTGTCCTGGACAAAAACTTAACTACCTCATCCAGGTTTCAAAGGGGAAGACAACGGCACACAGAACAGCGAATCCAAAACTGAAGGAACTGAGGTGGTATACAGTCCACAAGCTTGCTTCTTCTTTTGTTCCTTTATTTCACGTTATGCAGTGCTGCTGCTGCTGCTTCCAAACACCAAACGACGACGGATTTCCTAGATACGTATTCCATTTCCCCTAATGCTTCGTCAGATTGCTTTTTTTATATGTGGAGCTGCTTTACAACTAAATTATAATATAGTTACAACTCATATGCATTCATTCTTTTATAAGTGTGAGCTGTCAAGGAAATGCTTACTCCATGCCATCAAGGCATGGTAGATAGAGTGCCTGTGGAGATAGTGAGGAATGAGAGCCAGCAGATGCCGAGAGGAAACACAAGATTCACTCAGAGCATGGGGTAAGCATGTTCTTGACTGCTCACACTTATAAAAGAATGGATGTATATGAGTTGTAACAATATTATAATTTATTTGTAAAACAGCTCCACGTATAAAAAAGCGACCTGATGAAGCACTGGGGGACACGGAAGACTTACCTAGGAAATCTGTCGTCGTTTGGTGTTTGGAAGTTGTTTGGAAGCAGCAACAGCAGCACTGCATGACGTGAAATAAAGGAGCAAAAGAAGAAGCAAGTTTGTGGACTGTAACTGTAACAGAATCAATTTTGTTCACAGTGAACTTTGGTGGGGTGTACCTTTGGTTAATCACCGTGGTCCATTTGTGGCTTGAGCTTACCTCCAGATGGTGGCCGGAGAGCTCCTGAGATCAGTTCACCTGGAGAAAACGGCGACCTTGGAACGTGCACTCTATGACATTATCGCCCATTCAAGCCCCTCCCCTCCCCCAAACCCCGCCCTCCTCAGTCTCCACCCCCCAAATCACCAGGTATTAACCTCTCCAGAGCTGGCAATCCCAGTAGTTATAGTCTGCAAGACCATATCAGAGACCCCGCTCTGCGTGTGACCAGCATTACAGGACCTATTTATTCAGACTACTGTGCCTCATTTAGGATTTCACAGAGCAGGAGTAGGCACACATGGGTGGCTACAGTCTCTTTAAGAAACAAGGGAAACATGTTTTCACCTGCTGATTCCAATTGAAGTCAGTCTTCGTTTTGTACAGTTTTCGCCTCTGGAAACTTTGAACCGGTCTGGTGCGAGCAGACGCGCTCACCACCAAAACAGATGACGCTTTAAGCCTGGTCTTGTCTTTCCTTCTTCTCTTCAGGTGCTGCTGGTCGATCAGCCAACTGCTGGAAGATGGGATTTCCTTGCTGGTTCCGGCGCCTCTGAAATGCACCAAAATAAAAATGATCAAGGGAAGTCAAGAATATGTTGTCGAAGGCTTTCACGGCCGGAGTTCATTAGTTGCTGTAGATTTTCTGGGTTGTGTGGCCGTGGTCTTGGCACTGTAACTGCCGAAACGTCAGATTCTACAATGCCAAGACCACGGCCACACAACCCGGAAAATCTACAGCAACTAAGGAAGTCAGGAATGCTCCAAAAAATAGCACCTTATATATTTAGACTTATACTCTAAATCAGGGGTCCCCAGCCTTCTTGAGTTCGGTGGACACCTTTGGAATTCTGACATGGGGCTGTGGATGCATTCACACAATGGCCACCATGGGAAAAGTGCACGTTTGTTATAAGGATGGAGACTGGTTCCAGAAAATAATTTATACAAGGATTTGTTAAAGCGATTCTTGAGAAAGAAAAGCTGGAAACGGCTTGTACATCCGGAGAGCTGTCAAATCGCTTCTCCTGTAAGGACAGGATTGTGGATTGCTTCTCTCACAAGTAGCAACATCTGGAAGAAGAATACTTTTGGATTATTCCTTTTGCAGTAGCAGGACATATAGAAAAGAGAATCCCTGTACTGTTTACTTTGACTTTACTTCCAGTTACAGTGTCTCTTGTTATTGTATGAACTCTGTGGTGCATCAGATTTTGTGAATTCACTTTTCATATTGTATACATTTTGACTATTTTTGTTTATTGTTCATTACTGTGATTATTACACAAATAATATATATATTATATAAATTCTTTATAGTTTATCAAATTGTTTCATTTTGGATTTTGCACACGGTGTTTTTCCTTTGAATTGTTCCACTGTGGTCCCCATTTTTGTCTTGCTACTTCACCACGGGAAGCAGACACACCAACAGAAGAAATCCAAGTGCAGGAGACAAGAGGAGAAATTTTGAAAAAATGCACTGGGAAAGAAGAGAGAATAAAATTTTTTAAACCCTGTTGTGCGTATAGCAGCCGCTGAGAAAGGACATTTTAATTTGCACACCCAATGAGATGTCCAGTGGCCAATCAGAAACCTTCCTGGTAAGGAGCCCCACTGGGCCATGTCCACATTTCTGGAAGCACTTGATGGGTGTCAGGAAAGGTATTGGTGGGTGCCATCCTGCCCATGTTGGGGACCCTTGCTCTAGATAATAGCAGTCACAGAAATCGGCAAAAGCTAAGGCACACATGTAACAACTGAATATAAGAACGTAAGAGAAGCCATGTTGGATCAGGCCAATGGCCCATCCAGTCCAACACTCTGTGTCACACAGGTGCCAAAACCCCGGTGCCATCAGGGTCCACCAGTGGGGCCAGAACTCCAGAAGCACTCCCACTGTTGCCTCCCCAAGCACCAAGAATACAGAGTGTCACTGCCCCAGACATAAGAACATAAGAGAAGCCATGTTGGATCAGGCCAATGGCCCATCCAGTCCAACACTCTGTGTCACATAGTGGCCAAAACCCAGGTGCCATCGGGATGTCCACCAGCAGGGCCAGAACTCCAGACCACCACCCCAATGTTGCCCTCCAAACACCTAAAGAGAATCCTAAGGAGAGCCAGTTTAGTGTAGTGGTTAAGTGCGCGGACTCTACTCTGGAAGAACCGGGTTTGATTCCCCACTCCTCCACTTGCACCTGCTGGATGACCTTGGGCAAGCCATAGTTCTGGCACAGCTGTCCTTGAAAAAGAGCAGTTTCTGTCAGAGCTCTCTCAGCCCCACCTCCCTCACAGGGTGTCTGTTGTGGGGAGGGGAAGGGAAAGGAGTTTGTAAGCTGCTCTGAGACTCCTTTGGGTAGTGAAGGGCGGGGTATAAATCCAATATCTTCTTCTTCTTTGTCAACATGCACTTACTTATTTGCTTGTTATTACAGGTCCTTCTTGTCCCTATCTATACCTTGTGGCTAATAGCCACTGATGGACCTCTGCTCCATATGCTTATCTAATTCCCTTTTGAAGCCGTCCATGCTTGTAGCTGCCACCACTTCCTGTGGCAGTGAATTCCAAGTGTTAATCACTCTTTGGGTGAAGAAGTACTTCCTTTTATCCGTTCTAACCCGACCGCTCAGCAATTTCATGGAGTGCCCACGGGTTCTTGTATTGTGAGAAAGGGAGAAAAGTACCTCTTTCTCTACCTGCTCTTTCCCATGCATAATCTTATAAACCTCAATCATGTCACCCCTCAGTCGTCGTTTCTCCAAGCTAAAGAGCCCTAAGCGCCTTAACCGTTCCTCATAGGGAAAGTGTTCCAACCCTTTTATCATTCGAGTTGCTCTTTTCTGCACTTTTTCCAAAGCTATAATATCCTTTTTAAGGTGTGGTGACCAGAATTGCACACAGTATTCCAGATGAGGTCGCACCATTGATTTATATAGCGGCATTATGATATTGGCTGATCTGTTTACAATACCCTTCCTAATAATCCCCAGCATAGCATTGGCCTTCTTTATTGCAGTCACACACTGTCTCGACATTTTCAGTGAGTTATCTACTACAACTCCAAGATCTCTCTCTTGATCAGTCTCTGCCAGTTCAGACCCCATCAACGTGTATTTATAGTTAGGATTTTTGGCTCCAATGTGCATCACCTTGCACTTGGCCACATTGAACCCCATTTGCCATGTTGACGCCCACTCGCCCAAAATTGACAGATCCCTTTGGAGTGCCTCACAATCCTCACTGGTTTTCACCACCCTGAACAACTTCGTATCATCCGCAAATTTAGCCACTTCACTGCTTACTCCCAACTCCAAATCATTAATGAACAAGTTAAAAAGCAGTGGACCAAGTACTGATCCCTGTGGTACCCCACTGCTTACACCCCTCCACTGGGAGAACTGCCCATTTATACTCACTCTCTGTTTTCTATTAATTAGCCAGTTTTTGATCCATAAAAGGACTTGTCCTTTTATCCCATGATTTTTGAGCTTGCTTAGGAGCCTTTGATGAGGAACTTTATCAAAAGCTTTCTGGAAGTCAAGGTAAACAATATCTATTGGATCCCCCTTGTCCACATGTTTGTTCACCCCCTCAAAGAACATTAACAGGTTAGTGAGACAAGATCTTCCCTTACAGAACCCATGTTGAGTCTGCCTCAATAGGTTTTGTTCATCTATGTGCCTACTAATTCTTTCCTTAATAATGGTTTCCACCAATTTACCCGGTATCGACGTCAGACTGACTGGCCTGTAATTTCCCGGATCTCCTCTGGAACCCTTTTTAAAGATGGGAGTGACATTAGCTACCTTCCAGTCCTCAGGAATGGAGGCTGATTTTAAGGAGAGATTACATATTTTTGTCAGGAGATCCACAAGTTCACAATTGAGTTCTTTCAGAACTCTTGGATGTATGCCATCTGGGCCTGGTGATTTATCAGTTTTTAAGTTGTTTATCAGTTTTAGGACCTCCTCTCTCGTCACCTCAATCTGACTCAGGTCTTTCAACACCCCTCCCGAACTCAGCGGCTCTGGAGTGGGCAAGCACCTCTCATCTTCCACAGTGAAGACGGAGGCAAAAAATGCATTTAGCTTCTCAGCCATTTCCCTATCATCCTTCAGTACTCCTTTTACCCCTTGGTCATCCAAGGGCCCCACTGCCTCCCTGGCTGGTTTCCTGTTTCTAATGTATTTGAAGAAAGTTTTATTGTTGGTCTTTACATTTTTTGCTATATGCTCCTCATATTCCCTTTTTGCATGCCAGTGTGTAAGCTGCTCTGAGACTCCTTTGGGTAGTGAAGGGCGGGGTATAAATCCAATATCTTCTTCTTCTTTGTCAACATGCACTTACTTATTTGCTTGTTATTACAGGTCCTTCTTTTTTCACTCAGTTTTGGTGGTACATCAGAGAAGCTTGTAGCCCTAATTCTAATTCTTCCAAACTCGGTGCCACAATTTCTCGATGGGAAGAAAAAACCCCACAAGACTCCAAGTCTTCAGAGGTTCTTCCTCCTAGCGCTCATATGCATGCTCAAGTAGAACTGTGTGGAAAAGTCTCAAAGGGGGAAAAAAATCAACCCCTCCAGTAAATGTATTCTAAAGACCGAATGACTAACATGAACATTCTCTGGAGAATTTAACTGTCCACTATGTCCAACATTTCAACAGAAGCATCTCTTGTTTCAGCAGTTTGAGAGCCAGTTTGGTGTAGTGGTTAAGTGCGCGGACTCTAATCTGGGAGAACTGGGTTTGATTCCCCACTCCTCCACTTGCACCTGCTGGATGACCTTGGGCAAGCCATAGTTCTCTCAGAGCTGTTCTTTCAAGGGCAGTACTGGAAAGAGCTCTCTCAGCCCCACCTACCTCACAAGATGCTTGTTGTGGGGAGGGGAAGGGAAAGGAGTTTGTAAGCCGCTCTGAGACTCCGAGTGAAGGGTGGGGCATAAATCCAATCTCTTCTTCTCTTCTTCTTCTTGTTTCTTATTACAGACCATTTCTAAGCTAAAAACTGGAGAAGTTATGTATCAGGATTACAGTGCCATCCTAAGTGGGGTTACACCCTTCAGTGGGTAACTCTGCACAGGATGGTGCAGGCGGTCTCCCTAACAAGAACAGGATTGCGCTTACCTGTAACTGTTATTCATCTAGTGTTCTGTACAGGCACTGTGGACACACAAGCCCGCCACAGTGTCAAAAATTCCAAAGCTTCCTAGAACTTTCAGTATTGCAAGTTGTGGTCTCCCTTCCCTGGTTGGCATGCTGGTCTCCCACCGAATATGACAAGTGACCGGAGGGGGAGGGTGCGTGCCTTCCCTCAGTTCTCTCACCATGGAGCAGTTCCTAGGATGCTTAAAGTAGAGAGCCCACAGCGAGGAAGCATGGGCATGTGAGCCTGTACAGGAGAATGCTCAAGCAACAACTCGGTTTTCATCGTCGGGGTCTCCATGCAGTCCCGCATTTATCATCCTTTAGCATTTTAGTTAATTTTTAGAGTGTTCTGTAAAGTTATTCTAAAGACTGAATGACTAGCATGAACATCCTCTGGAGAATTTAAGTGTCCGCTATGTCCAACATTTCAACAGAAGCATCTCTTGTTTCAGCAGTTTGAGAGCCAGTTTGGTGCAGTGGTTACGCACGCGGACTCTAATCTGGGAGAACCGGGTTTGATTCCCCACTCCTCCACTTGCACCTGGCTGGATGACCTTGGGCAAGCCACAGTTCTCTCAGAGCTGTTCTTTAGCATCTTAGTTCATTTTTAGAGTGTTCTGCATCGCTTTCCTAACTGCATCAACTTTTTCATATTATTGTAGATCACCTTCTGCCCTAACCTGGATAGCCCGGGCTAGCTCCGAATTTGTCAGAGCTTGGAAGCTAAGCAGGGTCAGCCCTGGCTAGGATTTGGATATGGGAGACCACCGAGGAAGCTCAGGATTGCTACGCGGAGGCGGGTAACGGCAAACTACCCCTTCAACGTCTCTTAACTTGAAAAACCCCTTGAGGGGGTTGCCACATGTCAGCTGCAACTTGATGGCAAAATAAAGATCATCATCCTGTTGAATGCAAACTAAGACATTTCACTCACCGTCCACGTATGATGTTTCTTTGTTCAGAGTTCCGTGGTATTCACCAATTTCATGACACATGTTATAGGTCACGATTTTAATGCTGAAAAGACTATACTGGTGCTCTGACACTGAGAAGCAAAGCTTAAAGAAAAGGATTAGGGGCACAGCCGTACTGTCATTTTTTATGACATCCCTTAAATGCTAAAGTGGCAAAGTTATCCTGCAGTACACCACTGTGTCACCTACCTTAGAGAGACCCCATTGACCATCTCTTTCTGTTTACGGGGCTTTGAGGAGAGAGGAGAGGACGTGGGAGAAAGACTGAAGGGAGCCATCAGGCTGCTGATTATTTCGCTCAGCTGAGCACTCTGAAAGAGTTTCGAAGAAAAAGGAAAGTTTTTACATCACAGCCTTTTACACTCCCTACTTAAAGGTTCAGTGTTGCCCCTGCTATTAAGAAATTCTTTGATCTGCCACTTTTCCTACTCAAGTACTGCTCTGAATATTTTTCATTCCATTTTCAAATCAAATTTAAGAATGTGTCAAGTCAAAACTCTTTTTCACAAGTACATATTTGAACCAGGTCTTCCCTGTCGAAGTCCTACACCAGGGGTGTCTAACTCATTTGTTATGAGGGCTGGATCTGACATAAATGAGACCTTGTTGGGCCGGGCGAAGCGTGTCACAAAATGCAATGCCAGGTAGCGGAAATATAAACTTTATAAAGGACACAAACACAAAGGTGGGTTTTTTTTACTTAAAATAAAAACATGCTTAAAACATTACCTTTGTAAGCTTCAAACCTACTTTTGATTTATTGACATTCACCACAGAAATCTCATGCTCAGAGTTCTGAGTCTAGGACCCCGGTTAAAACATGAAACGGCTGAGTGATTAAGAGAGACTGGCGAAGCAAGCTATGATGCAGCAGCAGCAGAAGAACTGGAAGCAGGAGATGGCCAGTTACACTTCGGGTCTGATGGAAGTCCTCCAGGGGCCTGATCTGGCCCCTGGGCCGCATGTTTGACACCCCTGTCCTATACAATGGTTACATCACTACACATACTTGGAAAAGACATAGCAACATTTACTGCTCTGAAAAGGAACCAAACACAGCAGGTTCTCTCTGTTACAACTTATGTTGATCTTGCTCCTAGGAGCAAAAATTATTTTTATGAAATCAATACGTTAGTATATATTGAACAAATCTAATAGAAATTGTTATCAAATTCCATTTATTTATTGAATTGATCAACTGCCCTCCCCGGTGGAACCGGGCCCAGGGCGGTGTACAACATGGTCATATAAACTATAATATAGAACAGATTAAAAGCAAGAAAACAACAAAAGCACAGCAGTCTTTTATAATCCCACTCCCCTTTGACTACCTGTTTCTCTATGTTTCGGAGCAGCAGAGTCGGACTGCTTGGCGATATTTCAAAGTCGTTTTCCGACCAGGCATCCTGCCTTCCAGGATGGGCTTGAGAATTCCCTGTGGTGTGTAATAAAGCTTCTTCGTCTGTCAAATGTGTTTGCTTCTTCAGGACGTCCTTTGAAGTCGGGAGTTCTTCTAGGATCACCATTCCCTAGACGACAGCAAATTGAACACAGTCCGCAACGACAAACTGATTTGCCTAAGACAGCTGTAATTCATAGAACGTGCTGCTTAGGATTCCTGAAAAACTTTCATAAATGACTTGGAACTTCAAGCATCAGCTGAGCCCAGACAATAGGTGAATAAGATCACAAAAAAGTAAGGTGTGACATTTGGGGGGGTTTGGTTTTTTTTGCAAGAAGCTAATACTACAGTAGAAAAGAGCAAGACGCCAGTAGCACCTTAAAGACTAACAAAATTGGTGGCAGGGGATGAGCTTTCATGAGTCACTGCTTACTTCTCATGCTCTTTTCTACTGCTACAGACAGACTAACACGGCTACCCATCGTGATCAAATGCTACAGTAACTGTCCACCCAAGGACCATACTTCGGTAAGCAATCTTCACCCCAGCTCTCTAATTTCAAGTACTAATTTCAACGGAAGCACAATATACATACGTTGCCCAAACTACTACGCTTTATTGATGAGGAGCAGGCTGTAGAACTGCACACTTCTCCCCCCCCCTTCTCAAATTCTCTACGTTTACGTTAAGCATGGTTTGACATTATGTACATCAACGGTAGGTGAGATCAAAGGTGTATCTAAACCCTATTTTGGAAATCAGGTTTTGCCCACAAGAGGGGTGATAGAGAAGATCTCATAGTCTTCAACCAGTCAGCATATCATGGTCTCTATATCTGGATGCTTTGCCTGCATGTTCCGAAAGCATATGTCAGATTTACATCAGATTTACAAAGTAGTACAACATAATTCTATTTGAAAACTTGCCTTCCAGAAGGAGGAGGAGGCTTACAATCTCCTTTCCCCTTCTCCTCCCCACAACAGACATCCTGTGAGGTAGGTGGGGCTGAGAGAGCTCTTCTGGGAACTGCTCGTGAGAGAACAGCTCTGAAAGAACTTGTGACTGACCCAAGGTCACACCAGGAGCTGCATGTGGAGGAGTGGGGGAATCAAACCCAGTTCTCCCAGATTAGAGTCTGCACTCCTAATCACTACACCAAATTGGCTGTCCACTCTGCCACGCATACACAATTTTAAATTTTATAACTCAGATAGAAGGGAAACTGCTCATTTCTGGTACACCTGGCCTAGTTCCACAATATTGGGAAGTTAATGTTCTTATTTTATTAATACGCAAATGGCATAACTTATTACAAACATGTAACACTTAATATGTTCCAAAACAACCGGTAACTGGCTGAAATTAAAGAAGACTCAAAGCAATTAAGGGCCAAACTAGACTTGATGGAATCGCGTGGCCACCAGATGAACACCCCTGCACTGCCTTTTAAAGCGATTTAAAAATGCCACAAGGGCCTGATCAAACTTGAGCATGGCACTCTTGCCCCCCCCCCCCCCCCCCCCTTCTCAAGTGGCATAACAGCCACGGGGGTAGGGTGGGCATTTTGGTACTTGATAAGATGGGGGGGGCTAGCATCACAGCCAGCTGCCCTGTGGACCCAATCAGGATCAGACCCTCCTAGCATTTTTAGATCACTTATAAAGCGATGGCAGCATCCCCGCGGCAGCCACAAGGATGTTGCCGTGTCTAACTTGTCAAAAGACAAATCATTAGCAATAAAAAGGACTAAACCCTTGAACCTGGGACCATGTCCTTCAGTGTATAGTTCTGAAAAGTACAATATTGTGTAACAAGACAAACTGCACGCTGTCTGTTAGATACTGGGTTCCATGGATGGTCTGACCCCGAGCTAGTGATCAGCTCAGCTTTATTAGTGATTCAGCAGATACAAGACAAAACTCCAGGGCAAGAGCCCTGTTTAAATAGCATGCAAACACCACACCCAACTCCCAACGATAGGCTATTTACATAACATTAATTCCTCATTGGTCACCTCCAGAGTCCTGGTGGGCTATTGTTCTAGAGCTCCAAGCTCAGCCAGTCTTTGATAAAACAGTCCTGGAAGCATGGATGGCTTCAAAAGGGAATTAGATAAGCATATGGAGCAGAGGTCCATCAGTGGCTATTAGCTACAAGGTATAGATAGGGGCTCTGGGGCAAGTGATGCTCTGTCTTCTTGGTGCTTGGGGGGGTCAACAGTGGGAGGGCTTCTAATGTCCTGGCCCCACTGGTGGACCTCCTGATGGCACCTGGTATTTCTGGCCACTGTGTGATACAGAGTGTTGGACTGGATGGGCCTTTGGCCTGATCCAACATGGGCATCTCTTATGTTCTTATGTTCTTAATGTTCCAGTCCCAATACATAACACTGTCCCAACTCATGCTGTCGATATCAGTAGAGAACTCGGTTTCTGATGGGCTGCCTTCTTCCATGCAATCTATCCCTCAAAAAATGCACAAATCATAATCATCGGCCCACCGGTCAAATTATGTTTTTGTTGCTTTAGCTACACTTCCGGAGGTCCAAAGTCCATCCCCCCCTCCCAATTTTAGGAAACTGGTCATGATGGAGCTTGAGAAATACGGCCCTATTATTTGTTTGTTCGTTACGCCCGCACCAGAGGCACGCAGCCTAACATTTTGGACAATAAATCGTCGATTCTGCCTTTCTCCCAAGGAGTGATACAAGTTATTCCAGGGAAGATAACAATCGGCCAATCACAGCCTAGCAAGTGTTCAGCAATACTTTAGAGCAGGGGTCCCCAACATGGCGCCATGGTGACACTTTTTCTGGCACCCGCCAGAAGTGGGTGGGACCAGGTAAGGGATTTCCCCAGCAAGGCTTCTGATGGACTATTGGAGCTTTGATTGGCTGTGTTAACTTTGGCAATCATTTCGTGGCTGGCTCCATCTCCTACGGCAGCCATTCTGTAGCAGGCATTTTGTTGCTGCGCCCACCATTTTGTGTCCGAATTCCAAATGTGTTCGCAGGCTCAAAAAGGTCGGTGGGGACCCCTGCTTTAGAATTTTTTTCCTAATTCGCTCCCCCCTTTGGACTAGTATTATATTTATATTATTATATAAATATAATATATTATATTATTATATATATTAAATATTACATAATAAATGTTGTTAAGAAACCAGAGACCATGGGGAAAAGTGAAAATATTGGGCTGGATTCGACCAGACTTTCCATCGGGGAACATGGGAGGAGTGGGTCCCCTCTGACCACACAAAAGGCTGTCAGGATCACCGGAGCTGCATGTGGGAAGCTGGGTTGCCAGCCTCCAGGTGGGGCCTGGGGATCTCCCGCTTTTACAACTGATCTCCAGCTGACAGTGATTGGCTCCCCTGAAGAAAATGGCTGCTTTGGAAGGTGGACTCTAAGGCATTGTACCCTGCTGAGGCCCCTCCCCTCCCCAAACCCCGCCCTCTCTTGGATCTACCCCCAAAGTCTCCAGGTATTTTCCAACCCAGACCTGGCAACCCTAGCAGGAAACCACATGACATGGGAGCTGTAATGAGGAGGGAAACTGAGTGAGATTGAGTGAAAAGGTTGGATGGATGAAACTCACTAATCAAGCTATAAATTGATTCTTTGAAGAACCCTTCCCCCTCCCCCTTACTGAATGACAATACCTTGGTAGCACGGATCTGCCTGTGAAGGTCAGTGAGTTGCTGGATTTTGTACTCTATCTCCGAAATCTGAGCTTGCAGCCAAGTCCAGCGGCAGCCAATTTTAGCTCTGTCCACCAGCCATTGCCAGTCCGATCTATATTTTACAGGAAAGAACACAGAACTCCGATCAGCCAACAAAAGGGTGACACCTACCTTCACAAAGGCAACTTCAATATCCCAGGTGCCTACCTGTCTCCAAGGAAATCTCACATGGCAGACAGGTAATTTGTTAGTACCTTAGCTCTAAGCAGCAATATATATATTCCCTCCCCCAAGTAATATACTCAACACTTTCCCCCAGTCCGTTGTAACCAGCTCCATTTTTGACTCCAAAGAACTGAAAATAACATCAGTAGTATTAGTTAAAAACGGAACACACTAATTTTTGTTTCACTAGTACAACCAAATGTGTTTTAACACTCTTATCAGTCTTGTTCAGCCCATCCAATCACAAGGCACTTCCCTCACTAGACATTCCAATGTTTAATGTGAAATCCAACACATAACAGTGAAGACTGCATACCTTGTGGGGGGGGGGGATTGTCTTCCTGTATTTATTGAATTTATTTAATGTTGACGGGAGAACAATGTAACTAAAGTTTAAACTGAGGAAAGGCAGAATATCTACCCAATAAAATGTAAAAGCAGTTTAAAAAATAGAAAATGATGGGAAGGGGAACTGCAAGAGGCTTACGGGGGGCATCTCATCCCCCCCCCCATATCATTTATACTCCCCACACTATTTCCTCTTTTCCCTTGGGAGCCTCTCCCTGCTTTCTTCTCTTCTTTCCACTCACCCACTTACCTTATCCCTTCAGCTTTCCTTCCCTCCCTCCCTCTAGCAACTTCTTTTCCTTCCCCACACCTACCTTCTCCAGTTCGCCCCACTTTCAGCTTCTCCTCCTCCTCTCCCATTTCCATGTTTCCTTCCTTCTCTTCCATCTTTTTCAGCCTCTCCCTCTCCCCCAGCCTATGACTGACAGAAATGAATGCTTGGACGGTTTGGATATATTGATACAGTTGCTTAGCAGCCCTCCCAAATGGCCACTGAGATCTCAGAAATGTAGTCTCATAAAATGTCAGTGGGTAATCATCTCTTGGGGCCGCGGTGGCTCAGAGGTTAAGACACTGAAGCTGTAGACTGGAAGGTCTGTAGCTCAGCAGTTCAAGACCCTAGTGGTGTGTGACGGAGAGAGCTCCTGTCTCTGGCCCCAGCTCCTGCCAACCTAGCAGTTTGAAAGCAAGAAATTGCAAGTAGATAAATAGGTACTGCTTCGGTGGGAAGGTAACTGTGTTCCGTGTACCTCGCGTTTAGTCATGCCTATCACATGACCACGGAGATGTCTTCGGACAGTGCTGACTCTTCATCTTGGAAACGGAGATTAGCACCGCCCCCTAGATTCAGATTCGACTGGCTTTACCTTTAATCATCTCTTAATGCTACAGATGCCGTATCTATTACTGAGTTTAACCCCCAATGCAGTTAAGACTTCAGATTTTTCTGTAAACTTGGGCCTTCCTATGGGTTTGTAGAAAATTTCCCTCTTTATCCTGACATTGTATGGATTTTTGCTTTCTTTCTCAATCTAGAGCCTTGTTTAGAATCAGATAGAATGATTACATATCCATCAGTTAGCTATGTCATAGCCATGGAGACGAACACTATGAATAAAGACATGGTAACGGTGTGCCATTATTACCTGGAAATTAATATCACTTTCAAAACATTTGGGTCTCTAACTAACCTCTGTTTTTACAAAAGGAGAAATCATTTATCCTGAGGAAGAAAAGGCCACGGCAAGCAAACCTCAGCAACAAAAAGCTTCATAAAACAGCTGTTTACTGAACAAACACACTGGCCTCAAGCAGAGAATTCCAAAACTCTGCTCGGGAAACAGCTTATTGAAATTTAAGAAGTGTGGTCTCTGGCCTAGAATGTGCTTCAACTCACACATTCCTGAAGATGCAAGTATCCATTAACTTCAACAAACTCCTGTGGACTAAGGTGACACACTCGAAAAATATGTAGATAATTTTGGCAAGGTAGGTTAGAGCGTCTAATAGTTAAACAAAAGATTCTTTATCTCACAGGCTGCAAACTGCAACATGCCCCCTCATGGCTCCCAGTTCCTGACTTCCCACTGTTGCCTTCAAATAATCAGTGAATTCCAGCCCATGACTCATAAATCCAATCAGAAAAATTCTGCACTGATAGATCACTTATTAACAACAGTATGTATAAACCATCTGTCAACATGCATTTACAAGATCTACGAAAACTCTGGACACTCTCTTTGAGGCTTATCGGTCACTGGTGAAGAGAAAGAAAGTCAGTTAAGTTAACAATCAGCAGATGGCTCGAAAACTGTATTGCTGAAACACACCCGGTCCTGGGGTTTCCACTGCAGCCAATGGAAGGAATCACACTCCATTCGACTAGGAGTTCTTCCGTCTCTGCAGCTTTCCGTCCAAACGCATCAATACTGGACATCTGCACAACTGCAACATGGGCTTCTGTTTCTACCTTTATTAGGAATGACTGCAGCTGAAGTGGCTTTCGGGAAGGGGGTCCTCTGACACAGGTGGTTTAATCAGATGTGACCGATGCAGAGATCCCCCCCAGAACAATTAAGTCTTTGTAACGTCTCAGTGGTTAAGACGCTGAGCTACAGACCCAAAGGTTGGCAGCTCGGCAGTTCGAGACCCGACTGCTGCATGACAGAGTGAGCTCCCGTCTCTGGCCCCAGCTCCTGCCAACCTAGCAGTTTGAAAGCAAGAAACTGCAAGTAGATAAATAGGTACCGCTTCGGTGGGAAGGTAACAGCGTTCTGTGTGCCTCGGCGTCTAGTCATGCCGGCCACATGACCACGGAAACGACCTCGGACAGCGCTGGCTCGTCGGCTTGGAAACGGGGATGAGCACCGCATCCTGGGAGTCAGATTCGACTGGCTTTTGAGCAAGGGAAACCTTTGCCTTTAACATCCCAGGCACCGCAGGATGTCCTGCCCTCTCTCAAATGAGAATGGAACATTGGACTTAACCTGTGAAAGTTCCTTCTATATGAGAAGAGGACACCCTAGACCCGCCCTTTGTTTGGAGCGCGGTACTTTTTTAACCGTGCTTGCCTCCTGTGGGTTCTTTCTGTTTGATCCGCTTAAGTTGTACAATTCCCCCCCCCCTCCCTATTCTGGCCCTCATTCCTCCCAGATCCGGCAATTTCTCAGTATTAATGTTATTGTTATGTTTCATTTGTTTTGCCGAGTTCAGATGTTTCTTTCATCACGTTTTAAAATGTTGGGTACACATCGTGTTGTCAGCGGGCAGCTAGGGAAGACTCTGAACTAAAGAGCCAGTTTGGTGCAGTGGTTAAGTGTAATCTGGGAGAACCGGGTTTGATTCCCCACTCCTCCACTCGCACCTGCTGGATGACCTTGGGCAAGTTGTAGTTCTGACAAGAGCTGTCCTTGAAAGGGCAGTTCTTGAAAAGAGCTCTCTCAGCCCCACCGACCACACAGGGTGTCTGTTGTGGGGAGGGGAAGGGAAAGGAGATTGTAAGCCGCTCTGAGACTCCCTTGGGCAGTGAAGGGCGGGGTATAAATCCAAACTCTTCTTCTTCCTCCTCTAAAGAAGGACGGGTGCTCCCTCTTCTCAGAGGCGGAAACACTGACCTGCCGCTAGGGGTCATGAGAAAATGAGCACTCAGGTGTAGCTGAATATCCTCCAGTCCCTCAAATGAGAACATCTGGGTAGTTACAAAGATTTCATTTTCATGACTATCCCGTGCCATCACCTGACCTACAGGTTTCCCCCCTGATCTCCATAGCCCCAAACCAACAACAATATACTCACCAACCAGAATTACAGTAGATGTTTCTGCCAGTGTTCCCTCTAAACTGGGTTAGTGTGAGCTAGCTCACAGTCTTTTTAGCCTCCAGCTCACACATTTTTGTCTGAGCGCAGAAGGGATGGGCTCCAGAGCAAAATAATTTATGCAGTAGCCAAATCCCTCGCTCACAACTTTAATGCCAGTAGCTCACATAGTAGAATTTTTGCTCACCAGACTCCATAGCTTAGAGGGAGCATTTTTAGGACAATAGGACAATCACATTTCCCACAGGTGCATCATCTCCTACAGTATACCCTAAATTGTCCCATACTAACAACAATACATTACGCTGAGTCAGGGTACTCATTTGCATATTAAGCGACACACCCCTGATGTAGCCAATCCTCCAAAAGCTTACAGTAGCTCCTGTAAGAAGAGCTTTGTAAGCTCTTGAAGGATTGGCTACATTAGGGGTGTGTGGCCTAATATGCAAATGAGTACCTGCTACCAAACGAGCCCTGGACTATCTCTCTCATTGGATTCATATTTCCAAACAACTTGTCAAAGCCCTTTATGCTGTTCTGAGTAATAAGCAAACTTGTTGTATTTTCAGAGCTGAAGTTTTTCCAATTTGTGTGCGTATGTACATTTTTAATTCTTTTTAACTGGAAAACCTTCAGCTCTGAACACACACACACACACACCTATCCAAGAAATGGGGTTAGGTCTAACAGAGAGATATCACTGATTCTCCACCTTACTAAACCCTGGTTGAAATTACTGATAATTAATCAATCTAGAAAGCTTTACTTAACACAAATATTAAGAACACAGAATAAATGGTCGTTATAAGAACTGCTGGTGGAAATGTGATAAAATGCATCAATTCTGGTTAAAAGCATTTTCGCAAATCAAGAAAATGACAAATTACGCCAGTAATTCAACAGATCCTGAAGTTATTTCACTAGATAATTTTGTGCTGTTCCAAATAGACACCTGGATTTAATGTGTGTTGCCGCTGGCTGCAAAATTATTGATAGCAGCCAGATGGGAAAAGCTTAAGGTCCCCACAACCAAGCAGTGGAATAACAAACTATAGGAAATACTGATTCCGGATAAGATCTCATCACAGTTGAACACTGTTGATCGCTCTTCATATTCTACACCATTTCTATGGTAGACAGTAGAAGGCTCTAATGGAAAGCTTGTAAGCATCTCTTGAAAACACAGCTATTTTCACCTGTTAGCAGATCACTGGTTTGATACCATGTTAAGGTTCTATACGACTTCATGTGTTTAACCCAGTTACTAATACACCACATGTGTTATCGAGTTTTAAATTTTAATTCTGCTGTTTGCATTTTGTTAACACCATGGTGGGAGGGCTGCTGCTACTGGACTCGAATCCTGTACTTCTACTGTGAACCAACACAGCTACACAGCTATCCACCGGAAGCAGTCTTTGTTGTAGTTTACTTTATCTATCCCAAATGAGGAGAGGGGGTAAAAATAAAATAAATAAACAAACAAACTATGTTGTATATTTCACCAGTGAAAATTTGTTCTTTAACATCAGTGTTTCCCAACCTGTGGGTCGGAACTAGAGTTACCATTCCTCAGTTGGGGGCGGGGTCCCCGCTTTTGTGGACTTTTGTAGGCACATGTAGGAAATCCCCCCCCCCCCATATAGCAATGTTGGGTGACATGCCAATGTCACCTAGAAGTGATGTAGGCACATCGGTGATGTCGAGGTGGGTGGGTGACACTCTGGTTTTGGGACAAAACTCTATGATTTGAGGGCAATTTTAACACAGAGTTTTGCCCCAAAACCAGAGCGTCGCCCGATGTGCCTATATCACTTCCCTGGTGATACGCGACACCACTTCCAGTGATGTCAGAATGCC